TATTAAAAATTCTATAAGGAAAACTTTTGTTGATGACAGATATTGTGTAGAATATTAATTATAATCTATATTCTGATTTGGCTCCAGTTCTGACTTGTTCTAAAAGTAAAAAAAAAAATATTTGGATGTTATGTAATTACAAATTACAAAAACATAACAGAAGAAATTAACTTTAAAGATTATAAAAATCTTCAGAAAATATGATGATTGATTATCACTTCATATGATGTAAATAAATATAACTATCAAATGAATATATATCATCAGTTGACCTTTGATTCAGTGGAGTAACAAGAAGTATGTCTGTAATTGCTGATTTTCTTTAGTTTCTGGGGAATATCTAAATAGTAATTCACCAAGCAAATTTTTGTTGATTAGATCTTTAGACAGGGTAAAGGTCCAATGGAAGAGAGCCATTCTTTTTGTAAAGAATTGTGTTCAAATAAAAGTACCACTTGGTGTTAATCTTAAGTATATGCCAACCTCCGATCTATTGATTCTAAGCCAAACAGTTGCCATTAATAATAGGGCTATTATTATGCTTTAAAAGTGGGTAAAGCAATAGCTGGCTGAGTGCCATAGTGGAGGAATACATAGGTCACAGGCATAGGAGTTGCTCCATCCAACGCCTTAAGTAACTCTGGTTGGTTATGTCTAAATTTAAATCAGGAAACGAAGACTTGCTTGAGGTCTGGATGGCATAACTGGCTAGCGCACTACACAGTAGGCAGAGGTTATGGGTTCAAGTCCTACTCCAGGCTAGTTCTTTTCTTCAAGAATGTTCTAAATTATTCAATAAAATATTATAATTATTAATTCAGATAAGAGATATTCCCTAACATCTATCTCTAGTACCAAATTACTTAGTTTCTAATTATTAATTACAGCACAATAATAGCATGATTATTAATGGTGAACGTTTGGTTTAGTTAAACTTAACTCATTTGTTCCCACCTGTTTACTTGGAGCATGTTAAAAGCACCCAAGGTGAAACACCCGAGTTTACATGCTTTATTTTAAAAATTTACTAAAAATTTAGTTTTTGTCAAAAATGTGAAAAAATTCAGAGATATATATTTTTCTTTAAGTCTACAATAAAAATACTATACTAATAGTCTGATTTTTAAAGAAGTTTTTAAAACATAATAACTGAAAAAAGTAATTGTGAAAAAAGAAAATTTTTGTTTGATGCAAAAAAACGAATTGTTTTTAATGATATATTTATTATTACTAAACTCATAAGATAGGGAATTTTGTTTTATACATTTTTATATAAATATTATTGACATGGGTGATTATCTTCAGTGCAGAGCACACTGTAAGTCACACTATAGAAAAATCTATTTTGCAAAGTTAAGTGCTTTTTAAAGTGAACAAATCTTTTCTCTGTTTGGACTCATTATATTTTAGTTAATGGTGACTTAAGCACAGATTGACTTTTATTTATATTGACAGATTTTATTTCAGCGAATAAGGTATTTTTGTTACCTCTCAATGTGCATAAATTTTGCCGCAGAACTACTATCCATTATAAGTTTATAGGAATACAGTAGAGCATTGATTATCCAAATATCGATCAACCAAAACATCGGTTAATCGAAAGCATTCCAGTCAGCAAATTTAAATTTCTGCTAGTGCTGTGGCACTGCAATATTTAATTGTCTTGGGCTATTCCAATATTATTTTTGTTGGTGTGCATGTTTTAGCTGGCAGCACTGGCACGACCATGAGAGGGTACTAAAGGATGCGCCAGGATTTGAACGAATTTCAACATGGGATAGATTAATATATTTTTTCGTACATAATAGGTTATCCGAAAAATCGATTATCTGAACAACCCCAGTCCTGAATTGTTTTGGATAATCGATGCTCTACTGTACTTGTAAATTATTGGTTGTTAATTTATTCAATAAACCTTTTATTTTTTTTTTTCTTTCTAAGAACACTATCTGCTATCATTCTCTTTACAACATTTTTGGAGGAGTATTACAGAAGAAGAATCATTATGAACTTACCATATAGCCACTTTTTACATTGACTTAAATCTAGTTTGATCCATCAACTCCTAATGACTATAACTGAGCTTAAGTATAACTGAAACGGATACAGATTTTAGAGCTGTTCTAAATGAACAAAGCACAAATCTATCTATCAGTCTTTAAACATTAGCCATTTAATCATTTGTGTATGTCGTGGAATGTATCTTCTGGGATGATTTCCTATTATGTTTTGGGTAACAAGATCATTGTTGCTATTACTGCTGTTGGTTTTTACTTAATGCAGATAACTTCATTTAGTCATTTGTTTATTCTGTTAATACTAAGTTTATATTTGTAGTGATATATTTTTGGTGGTTTTTTTTCTACTGAATCCTTTAGTAATTACTAGAGTTTATATTAGTTGTTTAGTAATGTAAGTCAGTGGTTCCCAACGTTTTTATTGCCATGGACCGGCCAATGTTTGATAATATTACCACGGCCGCTGAGGGGGGCATTGATTGTTTATATTTTAGATTGTTTTGATTTAATAATTTTAATTTAATTGTATTTAAACATGCCTTCAAAATAAAATACAGTTACACCAAAAAATGAATATAAAGCGGTTTAACATTTTAACTCACTAGAACACTAAATCAATGAGAACCCTGAGCTTTTCTTTGCAACGAGATGGTTCCATCTGGGAGTAATAGGAGACAATGACACTGGAAGTGTGTTGTTTATGTCCAGTTTATTTTGTTATTTTGTTTTGGTTGCTGTTACTGCAGAAAACCCCGCTTCACACAGATAGGATGTCGGAAATGGCAATAGGGATTTAAGTGCTATGTTGGCAATCTCAGGGTATTCTGCCATGACTTTAATCCAGAACACCAGCAGACTTGTTGTCTTGAATGTAGTTTTAAGGCTGCTATTATTTTCAATCTCCAGCAGTTGATCTTCTTCTTGCACAGACATCCTAGATTTGCCTGGTTTGTTGACACATGGGTCGCCGATCCATTCCTTACCAGTTCGTGGGTCTTTTGTGGTTGGGAAGTAGCGCTCATACTCTTTTAAAAGCAAAGACAGGTGATCGTGCACCAATTGGGAGAATGAATGCTCTGGCTCAGTCTCGCCTAAAATCCCCACTAATGTCTGAAACATGTCCAAAATGCCTCTGTTCATGCACCATCCCCACAACTCCAGTTTGGCTTTAAATGCAGCTACTTTGTATGCCAACTTGAAAACAGTTGTCATTTTCCCCTGAAGAGTCAGATTGAGTTCATTGAGCAGTCTGAATATGTCACACAGGTAAGCCAGTTTTGCAACCCATACCTTGTTACTGAAATGTGGTGCCAGTGGTGACTTCTTTTCTGATAGAAATCTTTGCAATGGCTCTTGTAATTTAAACACTCTGGTTAGCGATTTTCCTCTGGATAACCATCTTATTTCTGTGTATAAGAGAAGGCATCTGTGCTCTGTGTCCATCTCCTCACAAAGCTGCCCAAACAGGTGTGAGTTAAGGGTGTGTGCTTAGATGTGGTTAATAACTTTAACAACATCGATCAATACGCTGTTAAATTCCAGTGACATTTTTCAGCTTGCCAGCATTTTCCTGTGAATGATACAATGCGTAGATTCACTCTCAGGTGCAACCTCCTTAATCTGAGCAGTTAAACCAGACAGTCGTCCGGTCATGACAGCAGCTCTGTCTGTGCATATGCCGACACAAAAAGACCATTTTAGTTGTCTTGATATATAATCATTCAGTGACTTGAACGAGTCTGCTCCTGTGGTGTTGGTTGGCAAAGATAGTGCACATAACAAATCCTCATGCACATCCTCCTGATACAGATATCGCACATAAACAAGTAGTATTGCCTTGTTGTCGATATCTGTAGATTTGTCAACCTGGAGTGCATACCATGGTGATGTATTAATCCTCTCCAACAATTGTGTCTCAATGTCTTCAGCTATTTCCTCAATGCGCCTAGTTACAGTGCTAGCCGACAAAAACACATGTGCTATCTTTTCCACAGCAGCCTCTCCTAGAAGTTCACAGCAAATGTCTTTAGTGGAGGGCAATATCAATTCTTCACCGATAGTGAATGTCTTTTAGCCTTAGCAATACGGTTAGCCACCAAATATGATGCTTTCAGTGCATTCTCCTTTATTGATGTGGTGGCCCTCAGAAATTTCTTCTGTCCTTTGTGTTCCCGTTTTTTTTCTTTCAAAATACTCCAGGGGCTTGTCTTTTAATCCAGGGTGTATGGCATTCAAGTGGCAAAGCAGTTTTGAAGATTTCATTGCCTCATTAGAGAGATGGTTGCTGCAAACTATGCAGAGCAGGGTTGGTGTGTGTGAATCACCTGTCCCGATAAATCCATATTTCAAGTAAGACTCATGGTATTGTCTGTTAAAAGTTTTATGTTTCTTTGATGTTGAAGGCTCCTCTTCTGTCTCTTCACTAGGCCATTTTTTTTTCCAAGGAAACTTTTTAACGACATCTGTTTCATACTCATTTTTGCTAATTTGTGGGTTAAATTTGAGCAAACACAATATACACTTACACCAAGCACTTTTAAACATGAGAAAGCACTGATGAACAGAGAGAAGAGCGATATACGCCTTCTCTCCACCAAAGCTACAATGCCACTGCCGCTTGCAGCTGCTCAGCTCCAGACATTGCCTAAAACCGCCTCAATATCACAATATTTTGCACATGCACAGTATTGGTGTGGTTTTAGGTGACGACTCTCAGCTCCTTGTTAACCACTTGTCCATTAAAAGTCGCACAAACCTGAGAGAAATACACCACAGTAAATAAAACGGAAATAATTTAATGGAAATAATCCTTGGGTGGCCCAGTACCATTTGATCCACGGACTGGTACTGGTTCACGGCCCGAGGGTTGGGGATCACTGATGTAAGTAATGAAAGCATTATTTCAATGTATATTTGTCAATAATTAAATGTACAAAATATTTGAACACAGCTGTCAATATAAATTATCTTTGCAGAGGTATGTTTTTCCAAAGTAACTTTGTTACTGAGAATAACTCTTACCAGGCTCTTTAAAATATTATCTTATTTAGATTCTGGTGTACCATGAGGATGGTCATGAATCAGTGTCAAAGAAATCCCATTTTTGATTTTGCAAAATGCCTAATTCAAAAGTTCTTTCTTTATTGTTTGTAGTGCAAAATATATTCTCCTTTATAAGCTCTTGTTCATTAATATATGAAAGATGTGATTTCTTCTTTTTTTTTTTTTTTTTTTTTTTTTTTTTTTTTTTTTGTTTTGTTTTTATTTTCTG